TAGGAAATGTCTGAATATCCAGTCAGTCTGTCTTTTAACTAATAGTGGGGTTCCATGGTAAACACAGCAGTTCAGCTCACAGCTCAAACCACCACAGTGCTTTTCGTTAAGACAGCTACTTACTTCGTATGCAGCAGAAGTACTGTATGCATGCTTTCCATTTTGTCACATACAGTGGGGCCAGGATTTAATAGAATTAATTCTTACTGCTTTATTAAGGATTGCCTTAAGTGAAACTGGCTTTTTTTTTTAACTGCAAGTGCGTGTCAGTTGATGACTTTACAGTTTGGTGCCTCTGACTTAATTTGTGCTAAGGCTCCAGCAGTTTTGCCCACTTCTGCTTTTGTTCCCTCCATGCAGAGACCAACATGGTAAAAAGGCAGATAGTGTCTTTGTATTATTATGAACAGTTTTGACCTCCCAGACATCCTGCATGGGGTCTGTGGACCACCACACTTTGAGAACCACTGGACTAGGATATTAGCTTTCTGAAGCCAGTGGAATATCTTCTCTGATTCTCTGGCCTCTTGAATGCCCTGCTATCTCCCTCCCTTCCTCTCATTCTGGTAACCTTTCAGAGCAGGATCCCTGCACTGGGTCTGGGGTACAGGGTTGGCCACACATCTGATGGTGCCCTTTCCCCCTCAGCTCTGAACCATCACATTCACTCAGTGAAGACAGCTTCCATCGGGACATTAGGAAGGAGCCGGCCTCCTATGCCAGTGGTGGTTCCCAGTGCCCCTGAAGTGCAGGAGACCACAAGGATGCTGGAAGACTCTGAGAGTGTAAGTTCATGGGGTCATCCGCCCAGCTAAGATGTCCAGGAACATGTCCCAGGACCTGAGTGTGTGCTGCTCAAGCTGCTTTCTGTGTAGGCCCAGGCCTCACAGCCCAGAAGTGTGAAGCACATTCCCTCATTCATCCAGATGTGTTTTGAGCATCTCCTTTGGGCCAGAAACTGTGCTGAGGGTTGGTCTGCTTTCTCTCTCATACCCACTCTAGTGTATCTTAAATTATCTTATAACACCACCCGTCAAGCTGCTTTCTGTGTAGGCCCAGGCCTCACCGCCCAGAAGTGTGAAGCACATTCCCTCATTCATCCAGATGTGTTTTGAGCATCTCCTTTGGGCCAGAAACTGTGCTGAGGGTTTGGTCTGCTTTCTCTCTCATACCCACTCTAGTGTATCTTAAATTATCTTATAACACCACCCCAGCTAGAGACACCCCACCACCACCACCCCACCTGCCTTCCTTCCAGTTCTGTCTCTTCTTGATTTGAACCATCCACATGTCCTCTCACCCCTCAGTTTCTGAGCAGGATGCTAGAGGAGAAGGTGCTTGCATGGTTGTACTCAAAAACAAAAATCACCAGTGTCTCCTCGTTCTTTCACTCCTAAATTCCAGTAAATAAGTTCTGTCTCTGGATTTCCAGGTACAGGACTCTCTTAAGAGGAAACCCTGGGGCCCAGAGAACCAGGACATCCCAACTGTGCTGACTGGCAGAGAGCTAGGAGGGGCAAGTTGCAAGGCCTTTGGCTGTGAGGTCTTTGGGACCCTGGGAGGTGGAGGTGGGAGAAAAGCATTTTGCAGTGTCGTGAAGTGGGTCTTAGTAACCTTGGGTCCATCCTGCTACCTCTGACTATTCTGAGCCAGTGTGGTTTCAGTAGGCCAGTCTTCTAGGACAGTTTTGCCACTGACCATTTGACACTTTGACCTCTCTCTCTCTCTGAGCTGTCTTTCCTGGACAACTCCTCCAGTCATGCCCTGTAACAGTGTTCTCTTTTCCATAGAGCTATGAACCAGATGAGCTGACCAAAGAGATGGCCCACCTGGAAGGACTAATGAAGGACCTAAATGCCATCACAACGGCATGATGACCTTCACCCAGACATGACTCCAAACCCGAGTCTAGAAGTCTTGGAACTTAGCCTTGAGAACAAGGAATTGTACAGAGTATGAGAGGACAGCACTTGAGAACACAGAGTGAGCCAGCAGAGTGGCCAGCGCCTCTGTGTGGGGCTGGCTCCAGGCATGGCCACCCGCCTTCTCCTGGTCAGCCTGGAAGGAGCCTGTGTCGAGGCAGCTTCCCTTCGCCTGCTGATACCCTGCAGGACTGGGCACAATAGGCCAAAGTTGTGTGTCCAGGGAGGAGGCGAGAAGTGCACCTTGCACTTCACTTTGTGGTCAGGCTGTGTCTTTGTGCTGCAACTGCATCACCTTTATGGAGTATAGACATTGGCATTTATGTACAATTTTATTTGTGTCCTATTTTATTTTACCTTAAAAAAAAACACTATCAAAAACCAAGGGAGTCCGTGGTGTTCTCCACAAGTGGTTGACATTTGACTGCTTGTTCCAATTATGTATGGAAAGTTGTTGACAGTGTGGCTTGTTCCAGGGGTTAGCTTGTTTTTTGGTTTTGTTTTTATTTTTTAATTCTGAGTCATTGCATCCTCTACCAGCTGTTAATCCGTCACTTTGGGCGGGGAGGAGTGGGGGGGGGGAATGTTGCATTGCTGTTTGTAAGCTTTTTTATTATTTTTTTATTATAATTATTAAAGGCCTGACTTTCTCCTCTCATCACTGTGAGATTACAGATCTATTTGAATGAAATGTAACATTGAAAAGACTTGTTTGTTGCTTTCTGTGCAGTCTCAGTATTTGGGAGGGGGGCTCGGGGTTGGGAATAGGAAATGGAGGGGCTGCTGAGGTCCTGTGAATGTTTCAGTCATTGTACTTTTCTTCCAGAAGCCTGCAGAGAATAGAAGCATCTTCTTTATTGTCCTTTCCTGGCATGTCCATCTTGTTGTCACTTCATTGCAGCTGGAGCTTCGTTTAGATCTGGTTAAACATCCTTCTGTGCAATAGGTGGGTTGGAGAATTTAGCTGCCCTGATGTCTTGGTCATATGCTAATAAGCATGTCCATGCTGAGGAGCCAGGTGCTGTGTTTGTAACTGCAAGAGTGACACAGGACAGGGAAGAGCCTGACCCTGTTCCTAGAAATCAGAAAGCAAAGATGGAGATCCTTTTCTGCCATTTTCATTGGTTCCCCAAGGAAGCTGGAGGTTAAGGAAGGAACTTTGTTTCCTCACGTGTCCTGCTTCTCTCCAGTGCCTGTCCTCAGCCAGCCAGCTCTCACTTCCACAGTTCACAGCCCCTTCAGGAAAAGCATCAGCAAAAACAAGGCACGGCAGGGGCTGTGGCGTCCATGAGCCTTCCCCACATAGAGGGGAAGATGGGAGGAAATTCCCCAAATACCGAGTGTATTTGTTCTTCAAGTAGCAAGGACAGGGACAGTGGCAAGGGGAAGAGGAGGCAACTGCCCCCCTCCATCCTAGCAGCTCAGCTAAGCATCAGTCAGCAGGAGGCAGCAGGAGGTTTCTGGGGTATGCAGAGGGGCTCGGCCACACGCACACAAGCCTTTGCCTTTGTAGGTAGTCCTCGTGTTCTTTTTCTTAGAAAGGTAAGGAGCCAAGATATGGGTTTGTTTGTTTTTTTAATATTAAGAATATATATGAAAAATACAGGACTGACCCTCAGGCATCTTCCCCTACTCCCCAACAAATCTCCAGAAGACAGCGTGGAAAGCAGCATAGAAGGTAAATCAGGCTTCCGTTCCATAGCCAAGAAGAGATCAGCTGCCAAGACCAGCAGTGGCACCTGCCTCTGAACTGGGTTATTTCCCTCTGTTAGGTCTTATCACACATTTGCTTTCCTATCAGCTGAGCTGTTTGTATTTACTGCTTTGGGGGCAGTGAGAAGTGCAGCACTGGAGCCCCTGCTGCCAGCTGGCCAGTCATCGGATGGCACCGAGCAGGGTTCTGGAAAACCACTGTGCTTCAACTGCTCCTGCAAAGTGCTGCCAGAGCACTCTGGCCACCGGGAGGGCTGGGTTCTCCAGAAACTGTTTCACCTTTTGCCCAAAGAACACACGGTATTTGGGGCATTTCCTCCCATGAACCCTGACACTTCTGTTACCTCAGGGCCTTGGTACCTGGATACTGCCACAGAATTGGGGCAGGCGGGGGAGGGACCTATTTTTAAATAAAATAACTGTTCAAAGTTGGGGGATTTTTTTAAATTAAGAAAAAGGAAAGCTATTCTGTATCGCACCTTTTCACAATTTAATACATTTTCTTACATTTTCCTGTGATTTTTGAAATTAAACCATTGTGTCTTGTAATGTCCTAGTTGAGCTGCTCCTCAGCAGCTGCCTCCGGGAGGATTTGGGACGAATGTGTCTATTGCCTTGCTGCCTGCTGGAGGGGGCCCGGAGGACTGCTGGGACTGGTTTCTGTACACACTTGTTTGGCCTTTTCTGTAGTTGATGCTGTAAACTCTATGGCTTTTTAAAACAATTTCATGTTTTTATTTAGTATTGGAAATCCAATACACTTTTTTTAATCCAATCAAATTCTGGTCTGGTCAAAGAGTTATTTTCGTTTTTCCTTAAGAAAACAACCTTGCCATCCCCCCCCCACCCCCCGTTTCCCAGCCTCTGGTTGACTTCACTGTCACTATCACAACTATAAAGCCAGGAGTTCTAAAGGAAGATCCAGGGAGGGCTGGCAGGTGAGTCCCAAAGATGAGTCCTGTCCCTGTCCCCACCCCAATGTTGCTGCCCTGCAGGAGTGGAAGGTGGCACCCAGCAGCAAATTGGGCTGCCCCTAGATGGCTTGTGGGCCAGGTCCCTGCTGCAGCAGTGCATTCTGTCAGCGCAGACTGAGCCCTCGCCAGGTGCCCTTCCACTCCCAGCCCTGCCACTCACAAGTGCCTGACTCCAGGAGCAGGTGTCTCTGGGGAGGGCCCGTGTTCCCACTGCATGCCCTCTGTAAGATTCCTCCTGGTGCCCCGGGGTCTGGGCCAGGGAATGGGGTGACCTGATAGCCATAGGCCCTGCCCTCCACGCGCTCGCAGAAGAGTGAGGGCTGGATGCGGAGTACACTGACCTTACTCACTGCTCCCTCTGCCCAGTAGTTTACCTGCTCTGCTGCCCGTGTGCTTTAGGAAGCCCACATCCTACCATTCCCAGCAGCAGTGGCCCATTGGCCGCAGCATGAAGGCTCAAAATCCAGACTCGTTACCTCGTGCAGCCGGGGCTCTAGCCAGGGAAGCTACTTGTGAGACACTCGTCTGTCTTTGCACGTGGAGTATCCACTCGTTGCAACTGCCAGAGCATCCCTAGATGGAGCTCTCGGCATGTTTTATAGCAATTCATCTGAGTCTTTTCCCACTGGCCTTGTGGGCTCCGTGGGGACAAAATAATTTCTCACCCTTTTCTAAATGCCTAATGCCAGGGACAGTTTCTGACTGTAGCAGATGCTTGTCTCTTGGATGGCTGGGTGAACAATCAGAAGACCCATTGCCTGGAGCGTGTCGGAAGGCTTCCCTCCCGCACCACGTCCTCCCCTCCTGTGCAGGGATCCTAGTAGGCCCCTAGTGTTATGGGGCCAGGACCCTCCCATTTCAGCAGCTGTGGCCTTTTGGTGTCCTGGGGTAAACTTCAAAGATAACAATGACCTGTCTGCCTGACAGTTGTAAGAAATGATGCTAATGCCACAGTGACCAACTTGGTGTGGAAACTAAGACAAGGATGTCCCCCAGATTGGTTCTGGGATGAGCGTTATGAACTAGGCTCTGAAGAAGACATGTCCTCCCCCCACCCCAGGCCCCCTGTCCATCAGCCCCTCCTGCTATCAGCCACCTTCCTGCCAAGGGTAGGGAGCATCATCAGGAGAGACAAGAACAGCAATTAACAAACCACTAAATTGATGGCAATGGGGGCATGGGCTGGGGGAGCCAAGAGGGGCCACCCTGACCACACAGAAGGGCCCCAGACAGCAGGGGCCTGACTCTTAACCCTGGGTTTCCACCCACCAAGGGAGGGAGCTCACCAGGGGTGCTGGGGGAAGAGGTGGGAGACAGTAGTTAAAGGGAAGTGATACTTTAAATTTTTCATAATCTTCAAAAACATACTATTTAAAACTACAATTACCCTCTAAGCATAGTGGCTGATGTTCATCTCAAAATGCCCTTTTACTCACCTAGGAACTTGATGGGTTTTGGAAATGAAAAAGGACCTAGAGCTGAGCTCAGAAATGGTTCAAGGGAGCACTTCGTTGTACTTGAGTAAGAAGAATTCGTAATTTCCTAGAATAATGGGCGAGGGGGTGGGAGGTGAGGGGGTGGGCTGGCAGCCAGTATAATCCAAGATGGTGAGAGAATTCGGGGCTATGTGAGAAAGTACCCCCAGTGGAAGTGGCTGGCCTTGAGGTGGCCCAAAGAACTTTTCAAAATGAAAAGATCTGAGAGATGATTTAACACTGCTCTTTGCACTAACGTGAAGTAAACCCCCTCCAACTACCCAAATCTTGTACAACATCTGCCATGTGCAAAGGCTTTGTGCAAGTTACTGATTATGCTCCCAGTAAAGAAGACAGCATCTGGGCCAGCGTGGTGGTGAACAGACCATGAGTCTGGTTCGGTGAGAGGGTGACCCATAAATGGGATTTGTCATTGGAAGCAAGAGCTCAGAGCCAGAAGTGACCATAAGAATCTAAACCTGAGAGTTCATGGAAATCCAGGGGGCAGAAGGGAGAGCACAAGACCTTTCATGGGTCAAAAAATGTGGCTTCCAATCAGCATTTTCCAGATTTTAAGCAGGTGTCTGGGTGGCCATCATTTAATATTTCCACACCTGCCCTCTCAGAATCCTGGAGCTAAGCCCTGTCACCCTGTGACTAAGTGCCTGCCCCTCGTTAACAGGCCCACCTTCTGTAGACCTGGTCTCCCAAAGCAGAAATCTGGGAACCACTCTAAACTCCCCTCAATGCCCCAGCACACTGCTCAGCAAATCTGGCCAGCTCCACCTCTCAAATGTCCCCCAGAGAAGTTCCTCCTTGGTGTTTGTTGGCAAACTCCTAATTAACGCCCCTGCCTCAGTGTTACTGGCAATCCACGGGCAATCCTCCACACAAGTGTCCAGGTGCTTTTCCTACCTTGAATCTGACATCTCTCCCCTGCTCAACATCATGCGATTACTCCATCACCTGCCTTACAGAATAGAGTCCAATGTGGCCCTAGCTGCCTCTTCCCTTTTATTTCCCACTTAATTGGCTCCTTCACCCAAATTTGGGCCTAGCAATAGAGAGCAATTTGTACTTGTAGAATAAGCAATGATGCCTGGCCTCTGAACTCTTTCCTCTGTCTCAAGTGTTTTTCCTATCTCCTACCTCCACCATTGGCTTTCTCTGCCTGGTAAAAGTCTATTCATCTTTAAAGACCCAACCAATCCTTCCAGTCCCCTGATCATTCTTGTTCATATTTATTTCTGTCTCAGCAGGCAAGAGAGTGTGCCCAGGGTCCTAGACAAGGAGCCAAGGGCAGTACTCCCTGCCCAAAAGCAGGCAAGAGAACATGCCAAAAACACCACTTCAGTGCAGGTGGACCACTACGGCCATCACCACAGCAAATGGCTCCTGAAAAAGTGGCTTGATGCCACAACAGCAGCCACAGCCACCATGCAGGTGGGCCACCAGACACTTGACTGCATTGACACAAGGAGAGTCACCAGCAGAGACCAGAAAAAGAAGAGGAAGTCTCTCTCCTCAAAGCCCACTCCAGAGT